AAGTAAGAATTGGCATACTAAAATCCCCCAGGAGCCCCAAGTGATTGGCATGGAGCACAAAAGTCCAGAATGAGATCAGAAAGGTTGTAAGTAGATGGGAGGTCTTTTATCTGATATAATTGCTTTGATAAATCAAATCCTGATGAGATCAGAGAATTACGATACTTAGATATGAGATCTGTTTTCACCTTACAGGGAAAGTTTAGTTTTTCATTGAAGTAAAATGCACAGATCTCAAGTGCACACATTTTAATGCATTTTCAGTATCATAAAACCTGTGTAATTCATAGCTCTTCAGGGGGATACATTTATTAAATGCAATATTTCTGCCAGATAATGTTTTTATTTTCCAAGTCCCTAAACAATCACATACTGGACATGCACTGTGGCTGTAAGGGTGCACGAGTGTCCCCATGCTTTTTCCTTATTTTGAAGGTAGTTCTGAAAATATTATTACAATTATGAATAGTACTGATAGATAATATGTTTTGAGTCCCTCCCATGTAGTAGGGAATTTTGCAAGGGCTTTACTTGCCTTAATCTTTCATATTAATCTCAGTCTTTTGTGGTAGGTTATAATGCTTAGGTTTTATAGACAGAAGAACCAAGTCAACACACATTCAAGTAACTTGAATTACTTTATATATACAATGAGTATTGGAATATATATTTCATATATATATATATATATATATATATATATATATATATATATATAAAATTTCTTATTTCATGAACCTCAAAAGACCACCAAGGAGCCAATTCCAATTCACTTGCACAGGAGTCTTTATTCAAGCTCCAGCTTGGGCCACACTGTTGTCCTCATTGACACAGCAGGATGGGAGAATTAAGCTCTGATTCTAGTTTCAAGCAAGAAAATATAGTGGCAAGCAAACAAGCAAGGGGGGTTCCAGCTTGGCACATATCTGGTTGAGGGGGCCTATTATGGAATTTGTTGCCCATTAAAATGATTGGCTCTTGCTGGGAGCCAAACCATAAACTTCCATAAGTAAATATCTTTAGGTACAACTGTAAGTTCTGCTTTCTTCCAGATTGGTGGTTGTTAGGGACCTGGACACCAGTATGACCTGGACATCAGTGCTAGGGACAGGCCTGCTGTTTAACTCGAGTTCAACCTTAGGGACGATTTTCTAAGATGGAGTCTGAACCCAAATGGACTTAGTCTGGTCCCTCAATGCAAAGTTTATGCTATGATATTTTTATTGATTGAATTAATGTTATGACCTATTTATCCCAATCATATCTGGAGCTAAATCACTATAAATTTTTATTTCTAGTCACTGATTTATGTATGGGTCTATGAAGGAAATGTATATAACTCTGTGGTCCCTCTCAGTGAGTTTGTAGTTATCTGTAATGTTAAAAATTTTCCAAGTAAATGAAACTTCTGGAAGCTCTATCAGCAATTTCAACACAGCTTCTAGAATACTCTGGCAGCATTAAGTATAGCCTCATAAAATAGATTGAAAAAAATTCTCTCATTATGCAATTTTCTACTAAAGAGGATATACGCCTACAGATAAAAATGTCTAATAGCAACTAAGCTATATTCCCCAGGGAAATAATAACCTTCTAATTGAAAACCCAAACAAACAAAGCAATGCCTTCATAAGAGTTTTGTCCTTATCTTAATATGATTGTTTTCAACTATGTTAAAATTTACCTAGGTTTTAACTTTTATATTTGAAATCCTCTTTTTAATAAAAGTATGAAAATACTGCATATATTTAGGCAAAATCCCATAGTATCTCATGTAATATTACTCATGTGGCAAGAAAGAAGGAAATGTAACTTGAAAGTGGATGCTTGCTAAGTTTTTGTTTCTTAAAACTTTCCTCCCTAGAGCAAAACTATGAAAATGCTAAATGCTGCTAGGCATGGCATTTGTTATGTACTTGTGAGCTCAACACTCAGGAGGTTGAGGCAAGAGGATTATAAACTGAAGGCCCACTGAGGAGATGTAGTAAAATTCTATGTTTACTTTTTACTTAAAGAAACATAAGAAAAAAATTAAAAATAAACAAGAGAAATAATTGTACTAAAAGATGTTTGAAATAATTAGAAAAGCAGCCAGATGAACGTGTCTGTGCAGATTATTCATGCTCCATGTTGGATCAGTCAGCCAGAGATACTGCACAAGTTTGCTTTCATCATTCACTAAGAAGTAAAAACAGTATTTGCAAATAAGTAGAAGTGTAATGGAATAAATGCATACTATAGATGCTGATTCTCTTAGATAACTGAGGCTACCAACTGTGCTTGTGTTGTTAGTGGTCATGTGTACTGTGCCATTTTCCTGCTCGATAAAATTTCTTTCATAAGGAGCATTAGAGTGCACATATAAGAGAGTTATTCCACATGTAACAGAGAATGTGATGCTGCCTTCCTGGTAGAGATACACTTATGTCACACATAGAATTAAAAACTTGACGTATATATGTCAAGTGTGTCTTATAGGCAGACAAAAATATACAACAAATTTTGTCACTGAAATAGTTGACTTGGGCTCTTCTCACTACTGTGGTCTTGCTGTGCAATCTAATAGGCTGTGAAAGTGGAATCATTTAAATAATTCTGAAATGGTAATAGGATGTGATTTTGACTCTCTATCATAACTAAAGTTAAAATTAAATTCTTCATAACCTCAATTGCTAACTCTTATTATGAAATGACTTATCTTAGGCATTTTAATATTTAATATTACATTATTTCAGAGATTCTTGCAATAATAATCATAATTTTCTTTAAAATAGTCTCTGTCTTACTTGAACCTCACAATATTTTGTGAGGTGGATAGGGCAGAAAAGATGTTATCAACAAAAATGAATAGCACAGAGAGGCAGGATGCCTATGGTCATGTTTCCCTTTGATGACAGAGCCAAGGGCAGTGCTACTTCCGTCTTTCCAATCATGTACTGTGAGGTGTTTCTGCTATGGAAGTTGAAAAGATTCAGTAGGTATTGTTATATACACTTTTTAATAGGCTTCTGTTTCCTACAATAAATTGAAGGGATAAATTCTATCTTAGAGACAAAGTAAGAAAATTTTATAGACTGAGTTGTCTCATTTTTCAGGTTTAAAAATACACACAGTGATAGGAAGTAGGAGAGCTGTGCTCTTGTTACTAGAATTTCAGGCGGAGTTCTAACATTTAGTTTTCATTTTTATAGAAAATTAAAGTAGAAAGGAAATGTACTAGATTATTAACATTTCAATACCGTCTTTTCCAAGAAAAACAAGCTCCAAGTGTTGTGTGACTTTGGGTTTCCACACATGATCCATCACTGGCCTTTGATAAATATTTATCCATATATCTGAACGAGTATAAATTTTATGCTATTGTTGAAATTAGAATTTTTGCTCCATTTATATGAATTTTGATTTTAAATGTATCACTAACTTTCTTTGGTTGTCACAGGCAACATTTTTATTATCTTATTCTGCTAAATAAGTTATGTAAATTTAAAGAAGTCTTTACCTAGCAAATTGTACTTTGTGTTACTATTTTGAAACATAGTAATGAAGTATTTCAGTTATCTTTGTCTTTAATATTATTCAGCTAAAGTGTCTGTGCCAAAACAATGTTATTCTTCTTACATGTAACAATTTTGTGCTACTGGAAATTGAACTTATATCTTTGTCTATGCTATGAAGCACTATCTAATGGTGCTATCTTTTTTCCTTTTATTGAAAATAGATTTCTTTCACATAAGTATATCCTGATTTCAGTTTCCCTTCCCTGTACTCCTCACAGTTCCTCACCACCCCCATTCAGTTCAATACTTGATAATTAAGAGTAAGGAGTATGAGATTATGTTTGATCTGATTTGTTCATTATACATAAAGTAAATTATTTTTTTTAGTGTGATACATACACATATGTATGAGGCATTAATTTGTATTTCTTTGGATGTCTCTCAAGTATGTTTTAGCTTTTTTGTTTTGTCTTTTACAATGTCTACTAGTTCATTTTCCAAAAATATATTGTTGCCAACTGATAAATAGGTCAAACATACAAGATCTATGCTAATAGATCTTCTCTGTATTTTTCTATGCAGATCACATACTTTCAAGACTAACAAGCATTGATTTATTTCATAAATTGCTGATAAATTGATCATCTAAGAGGCTTTTTTGTTTGTTTGTTTTTTAAGATTTTATTTTGAATCAGGGCTTCTATGTGTAGCTCTAGCTGTCCTATAAGTCACTCTGTAGACCAGACCAGCCTCAAAATCAGGTATCTATTTGCCTCTGCCTCCCAGTGCTGGAATAAAAGGCATGTGCCACTACTACTCAGCTAATGTTCAATAAGATCCTTGGTAAGCTTGATTACATTCAATCCTAGCAAATCTTTAGATGTGCCATTGTTATGCTTATTTCAAAGATTACAAAATGGATTCAAAGGTGGTCTCCAAGTAATATCAAGTGGACAGACTCAGAGTTGCCCATTATCAAAATGTCAGCTTCTGTGGAACATTGTTATTTGAGGATGGTTTATCTGTGAAAAACAATATTGTCTTGCCAAAGAGCTGTGCCAGAGGAAGTGTGCCTTGTTGACATCATGATGCTATATAGGACAACATGATAATGTAAAGGTAAAGTAAATGTCATTCGAAGAAATCAAGTAGTTTGTCAAATGCCCACCCTGCAATATAGTGAGGACTCTGGGACCTTATGCTAGTATATTACCTACCTGGCTTCTTAAAGTCTGAAGCACTTTCAGTTTTTACATTTGAGGACTTGAATGCTGATATATCTGGGAACATTAATAAATGAACTAAGTCATTTATTTTTTATCCTACATACTTTGATCAAAATATCCCACTATCATAATAAGAATTCTTTCTTTCTTTTTTTTGTATGTTTTCTGTTCCAATATAGTGGGATGCATCTTGCTTTTGTCCTGGAGATCACCTCTGTGGCTTGGATTTATCTCAGGAACATCCATCTTCAGTGTCCGTGTTAATTAGAAATCAAGCATGAGGAGATTTGTCTACTGCAAAGTGGTTCTGGCCACTTCGCTGATGTGGGTGCTTGTTGATGTCTTCTTACTCCTGTACTTCAGCGAGTGTAACAAGTGTGATGACAAGAAGGAGAGATCCCTGCTGCCTGCGCTGCGGGGTGAGTGCTCATGGGGAAAGAGGTACTGATGCACCACAGAGCAGGAGACCTCAAACTAGATGGGTTCTGCCTTACTGTGTTCGAAGAGCATGTTAGCAAACTGTTCACACATATTTAACCATATGGAAGCTGCTATACTTGTGTAGCCTTAAGTGTCTATGTGGCAGAAATGACAATAGCTATCCAAACTCTAAGATAACTTCCAATTTTCACCATTCTAGTGTTATCTGATGGTATATAAAGAATTATTTTGCAATGTTCCCATTAGACAGAATTTGACATCTGAGCTCTCAGAAACCAATCACCTTAAAGTTCAAGCACATAACATGGAGAGGAAATGATACAAGAATGAGACAGGAGAGGATATATATGCAAAATAATCATTTTTCTTTCAGTTTAAGATGAAATGTTTGAATCTATAAATTACTGAGTTAGAATTTTCATTTATTAATTTTAATTTATCAATTTAAAGATTATTCTTTAGTCAAAAATACTTTGATGAATGCAATTAAGTTGACAGTATTCTGCTGGAGGAAGCTTAGAAAAGCGTGGAGCATTTCTGAAAATTACTTTTAGTTTAGAGTGTTTTATACAGCTTTCAAAAGTGCTTGCTCAGCTGGAAAGATTATAAGCATCCTCCCCTTTGCAAAAATTTGGCTGTATCTGTCATGGTAGCTTTGATTTAGCATAGGTAATTGAAAATACTGTGCAACTGATCACTGTATTTCCATTTAGATAGATTATTTGTGTTTTGAGCCTTTATTCAACAATTATTTGGTGAGGAGGACCTTATGAGCCCTACTTTTGATGACTGAACATGGGATCGATTTCCTCGTCTTTAAGAAAAACCCTAGAATTGGCCTTCTCTACGGCTTTTCTGGAGTCACCTATGAGCCTTCTCTGCGTCTTTGCTGGAGTCATCTAGCTGCTGCTTGATTGAAAGTGGGATGTGTTTGATGCATTGTGTCAGTGTGGAATGCTCACTTTATCACTTTTTCACTGGAGACATCTAGATTCATCACAAAGAAATGCTATAATCTGATTCAGCAAAACCAGAGTGGTCTTTCCCACAGGTATGAAAAATATGCAGCTCTGCTGATTTACAACTTTAGTGTAGAGATTTAAATATCCAAATGTGAAATATGATACTGCAAGGCAAACTACTTTTTCTGCACCTTATTTTGTGAAAGTAGCCTTATTTATAAAATGCAGCCCTGGTCCATTAGGGCTTCTGTAACACAGTGGGAAGGCTGGATACCATTTATACAGCAGGGCTTTATTTTTTTATGGTTTCAAAAACTGTAAAGTCCAAGATTAAAGTGCTTGTTAGATCTCAAAAAAAGCCAGGATAGATGGCTAACTAAGGAGCCAGGACTTTCCCAGTCTTTCTCAGCATTGCTTATACCTGTTAGAGTCTTGTTTCCTTTGTAACCATTTACCCCAGGTTTCTTTGAAACCCAACTATACTGAAAGATGTGGTATTTTGGAAGACTTATTTTTTTATAAAAGGCTGTTTTCCTACTAAACGCACATGGATGGTGGCTGAAACATCCATCTAAGGATGTTTTTCCTAAACAGTGTCCCTGAAATTTTAATATTTTGTAAATATAATATTAAGTAAAATTATTAATATAAGCAAATGTCTAGGATACACAGTTCAAAATCAATACGGTTATTGATTTTACTTAAAAAATCTTACTGGGAAAAAGGGCAAGACAGTGGGGGTTCTAATTAAGAAGAGGTTAATGATAACTACAGAATTAGAAGTGAGTAAAATAACAGTAAGTATTTCTGAGAATGTCATAAATATTCATACTATCAACAATCTATATTGAACACAAAATTGTTTTAGAAATACCACAAGAACACTGAGCTAAACAACCATAACATATATGCAGAGAACCTCTGACTCTTTTGCCTGCCCTTGTGACTCTTTTTCTCCTACTAGATTGCCTTATCCGGTCTTTATATGAAAATATCAAGGTTTCCTGGTGTTATTGTAGCTTGTTATGCCATATTTGCTTCATGTCCCTGGAAGGCCTGCTCTTTTCTGTGGGGATATGAAGGGAAAGTGGATCCATGGGAAAGAGGAGTCTGTAAGGATGGGAGGAAGGAGAAATTGTAGTCAGGATGTAATATTTGAGAACAGAATAAATAAAATGAAAAAAAACCCTCAGAAAACAGGCTATAATGTATGTAAATCTTTTTAAGATATGTATAGATAGTTTAAACTAAACTGAAGAAATGACTTGAAACAGTCTTATTTGAGGACCAGAAGGTGCCATGCAAGCCTGCAAAGGAAGAAACCAACCAACATTTCTACCCCACCATGATACCTGTGAACCAAAGCAATAACCAGCATGTTATGATAGCTTCAACGGTACAGTAGGGGCATCTTTGAAGTAATTAGTAACTCTTTAATCAGGCTTAAGATCAGTTCTACTAGAAGGAAATCATGCTTGGTACTGGAAACTTAGCCAACTGCCCAAGGTTAGTGACATCATGGAACTTAATGGAAAACACACAACAAACATAATGCTCTAACCACATTTTAAATATTTGTTCTTATACCCACAGAAAAGTGTAGTTATCACCCCTCAACAAAGAAATTTCTGTTTACAATCAATGGAGACCATTATAAAATACCAAAGAAAACCAACAACAACAACAAAACAAAACACAACCACTAACTAAAATGGAGAGTTGTGGAGGCCAGTTCCAAGGGATACTATGACCTAGGGAGGATATGATGCTATGCTATGCTATGCTATGCTATGCTATGCTATGCTATGCTAT